CATGTATATATGTAAATATATTAATATATAATTATAGGGATATAGGTCTATATACATATATTTATGTTAAGTATCAAGGTAGCAGACAGGTATTGGACCTCTACTCAAGTCCTCCCTCAATGCAAAAACACTTTGTTCTAATATCCTGGCATTCTGTGATGCTCACCTTCCCAACATGATCTGCTGAAGACAAAATGGTGCATAAGCAAATGTGGTGAAGAAAGCTGATAGTACCAGGCTATTACAAGATATAGCACCTGGGGTCTTAAAAGCTTGGAGTTAAACAAGCGGCCATCAAGCAGGGAAGCAACAAAGCCCATATGGAAGAAGCACACCAGCCTGTGTGACCATGAGGTATCAACAGGAGCAGGTATCAGGCATCAGAAGACCCAAAACAACCACTCATATTGGTGCAAATGAGGGGGTTTGGAATGGAGACCCAAAGCCCATATGAAGACAATTGGACATCCCCACACAGAAGGGTCACAAGGACGAGCCAGTCAGTTTGCAGCATAGCATCAGCAAAACACACATTCCTCTAGTTCTTTAATGCTTCCTCTCCCCCGCCCCCCACTATCATGACCCCAGTTCTACTTTACAAATCCGGCTAAACCAGAGCATGTACACAGGTACAGATAAAAGCTCTCAACACAGGGAATCAAAGACAGATAAACCCCTCAGGACCAATAATGAGAGTATCGATACCACGAGGTGTCAACGGGAGCAGGTATCAGAAGACCCCAAACCCATCTGTAGACAATTGGACATCCCCTCACAGAAGGGTCACAAGGATGAGCCAGCCAGGGTGCAGTATAACACCAGGGAAACACACAACATTCCTCTGGTTCTTTAATGCTTCCTCCCTACCACTATCATGACCCCAGGTCTAGCTTACAAATCAGCCTAGACCAGAGCATGTGTATTGAGAGAATCTAGGACAGATAAACCCTCAGAACAATAATTGAAGTAGCAATACCATGAGGGTAGGGGGAAGGTGGAAGGGGGGAACTGATTGCATTGATCGATGTGTAACACCCCCACCCCAAGGGGGATGAACAACAGAGACAGTGGACGGTATAAGATATGAAAATACTAATTTATAATTTATCAAGGGTTCACGAAGGTGGGCTGGTAGGGGAAGAGGAGTAAAAAGAGAAGCTGATACCAAGGGCTCAAGTAGAAAGAAAACGTTTTTGATAATGACAACATATGTACAAATGTGCTTAATACAATTGATGCATGGATTGTTTTAAGAGCTATAATAGCCTCTAATAAAATATTTTATTAAAAACAAAGACATAGGACCTCAGGCTTTCTTTTGCTTTGAAGGCATAATTGGGACAATTGGTGAAATATGAGCAAGATGTACAGAATTGGATCAGTGTTAATTTCCCGATTTTGGTCACTGTACTGTGGTTACATGTAAGATTTTTCATTGTAGGATATAGACTCCTAAAGCTAGCCAACAACCAGGAATCTCTGAATGGTGCAAACAGTTACTGTCCTTAACTGCTAATCAAAGATTAGAAGTTTGAGTCCCACAAAGAGGTGCCTCTGGGCTATCAGCCACTGACAACCCTATGCGGTACCTCGGTACTGATACGCATGGAGCTGCCACGAATCAGACTGCTTGACATTGAATGGCAAGCCAACCTGTAAGATGACTCCCAATGATTTTCACCTTCTGGCATTCATGTCCTTTTTAAAAAAACAAAACTTTTTATTGCAAAATAGGTGTGGGGTTACATATCAGATCAATTTTGTATTCATCAGCTTTAACAATTTATCAACACCCCCCCCCCAATAGCTTGCCCTGCCCCCACTTCCTCTTTTATGCTTCCATCTCCCTCTTGTAGACGATTATCTTCCCCTTTACCAACTTAACACCTACCTGTCTAAACTAAAACCAAATTGACATCTGTGGGAAGAGATGAAGCAGCTCAATATCAGCAGCTAAAAGCAGGCCAGGGACGACTGTGGAACAGACCACCAATTGCTCATATGCAAGTTCGGGTGGAAGCAGAAAATGAAAACAAATCTAAGAGAGCTGTTCTGTGAATACTTAGCTCACATCGCTTTTAGCATCGCTTTGTGAATTAAAGATCTATTTTTGAAACAAGGACAACTGGGCTTTCAGGTAACTTAGAAGCTTAAAACATGCAAATGGGTGGGGCAGTCAGGATTTAAAGCCAGAAACTTTAAATTGAACAATGACTTCTAGAGAACACATAGTGGGGGTTTTACTTTTTTACATACCCTTTTGTAACAATTTCCCTACTTCTTGATCACTCACATGTATTATATCTTATTTTAGATGCTAGTTAATCTCACCAAAATGCAATACCTCCCTTCACTTCCCAAATACTGAGGAGCCCTGATGGCGTAGTGGTCATAAATCGGGCTGCAATCCACAGTCAGCAGTTCAAAACCCCCAGCCACTCGCAGTTCTGCTCGGTCCTGACGTCACTGAGAGTCAGCATCAGCTCAGTGGCAAATACTAGCCAATAAATATACCTCTCTTTTATACTCCTGAGTTTTAATTCTCCAGCCAAATCCATTGCCAGGGCGTCGATTATGATTTGAGATGACCTTACATGCCTCTTTGGGCTTCCGAGACTGTAAATCTTCAAAGATAAGAGTTGAAAACCTCCTTTCTCACGAGCAGCTGACAGACTTGAACTGTTGACCTTTCAGTTTTTGAGACTTTTCATATGAAAATCTAATTGCCCTATTAGGTTACCTATTCTGTTTCTGGGTTCTCTCACTTCCTCCATACTTGGTGTCCAAAAGGAGAGAAGGAATTATACCACAGAAATTTAAAGCTAGCTGACATCAAATTGGTCTCAACTATGGCGACCCCCAAGCACAACAAAGGAAATGTTGCCCTGTCTTGGCCATCCCGAGACTACAAACAGGCCAGACCTGTTGTGATCTAAAGGGTTTTTACTGGACGAGATTTGGGCCATTTTCAGGCATTTCTTTCTAGTCCAGCTCAGTGTGGAAGCTCTACTGCCATCTGGTCAGCATCACAGTGACTCATGCTGCACTGACGAACAGATGGTGTCTGCATGGGGGGGCTGGCCACAATCCAATGATCCTCCTGCATGAAACATCAGAAGTCTACCGCTGAACCACTAATCCCTAGCTTTCGAGTCCTCTTTGGCCATCTGCCACAAGTTCCCCTACCTTCTAGTAACTAGGCTGCTTTACACTGAATTATTGGCTAATCCTAGTTCTTGAAGCATCCTGAAGTTTAAAACAAGCTCCTAATTCTACTTTAGCAAGACATCTTCAGGTGATAGTTCACCTTTGCTAGAGTATAAATTTATTAAACAGAACACAAGAATGTTTCAGGTAGAAACATAAAATCAATTCTACTTGATCGTTCCATCCATCCCTCAAATGTTTATGAATTAAGGTTCATTTTATGTTCAAACACTTGGAATATTTGTCTCTTTTGGGGTCTGTATGTTTAAAGCGCCAAAAAGCAAAATTGAGGCTATTCTGTAAGTATTTATATAACCTTCTGAAATATAATTATATAATAATATAAAACCCTTTCTTCGCTTGCAGGTGGCGCTCTGGAGTTAGCCATGGCCAATGCTTGTCTTTATTTGCTCCCCTTCTAGCATTACTTGAGTAGGAAAGAGTGACTTTTCCCCCTAAAAAACCCACACTGTCACGATCATTAGTCATGGTGGGTAGCCCATGACACAAAACACACCCACACAGTTGTTGATGTCGTTTGCTTTATTTATGCACTGGATACCTGTACAGAGGCGTCTGCCGCATCTTTATAGTTATCCCTGTCTTCTCACCAAACTGAAAGGCCCGATCTCTCTCTCTGTACAAACTCAACAGAGCATATGCATCAAGTGGACATCTGACATGTGTCTCAGTGATAATAAAACACAACAGCAGACAATCATTAAAAACATAAAGATCAACGACGGCTATAAGAGAAACAGACATATTGACAATCAAATTCTTATTTTTAAATTTAAAAGTCTATTCTTTAGATTTAAGCATGAGATTATTTTAAAATGGGTACAAATTACAATTATGAATAGAAGTAAGACTGCAAGGGCAAGGTCACACATACTGTTGGCTCTTGGGTTAGAAAGCCATGAGCAGTAAGGAAAAATGAGACAAAAAAGGGGGAGAAATAGTCTACATGACCTATTTTCTCTTAACATCAAAGAGAGAGAAAGAGTCTACTCATACATGTATTGATTGTACAGGGACATTCTTTTTAGGCAAAACAAACAAACGATAGAGCTCATTAAAACAAAAGTATCAACAGAACTTTCACTAGACCGTACCTGAAGATTAATTCTAAAATGAAAGGAGAGGGGAAATGTCCTAGCATATTAAAAAACAAACAAAAACACAAGGCCGTCTTGTTCATACTCCTTCCTCAGTTTAGAGACTAGAGATGAAAGCACTTTACTCCATTAAACCAGAAACCTGAAAGGTTAACAGGCTTAGTCCAGTACTTAGCATAGCAATTTCATGGCATAAAATATACAATGACAAATTAACAAAGCAATGTGATAATGAAAGTGCTGCCGTTTTAAAACTGAGAAGTGTTTGAAGTTTAATTCTTTTATTGTAGAAAATTGACACCATTAAAACCAACATGATTATTTTCCACTCATTCAATAACCGATGTAACATTATAAAAATGTTTAAAAACCTTGTAAATTCATAATTATCAGATTTGCTGATCATCATACAGTGAATTTAAACTTGATTATTAAAAAAATAGCTTTATTTCCTTAAAAAATACTTCTTCATTCACCACTGAATGTCAGACCTGTCATCCTGAAGTAGCAGAAAAAGACAAAAGAGAGTGGGGAGCAGGGAAGGAGGGTAAAAATGAGGAGCTGTTACTAGGGGCTTATGTGGAGAGCGAATGTTTTGAGAATGATGAGGGCAACGAATGTACAAATGTGCTTTATACAATTGATGTATGTATGGATTGTGATAAGAGTTGTATGTGGCCCCAATAAAATGATTAGGAACAAAGAAAGAAAGACAAATAAGAACCGCTAAAAGAAGAAAAAAAAAGAACCATCAAGTTCTATACTCGGGGTTTCTTGTTGGGTGGATCCTGAAGACTAAACTTTGGAATTTCACCAGAAGCAGCATATGGAATTCTCTTTGAAGACACCTTTTTGCCAATCGTTTCAATCTAGGGGGGAAACATTTTTAGAAAAAATTATTAATAGGTACATTACATAACTATCAGAACTTTCTGATGCAGTATAACCGGGGACAAGAACCTAGATCATGCTTTCTTTGTAAGAGCACAAAAAGTTTCTCAAGAGGTCTGGGTGCTCTAAGCGTTCTGGGTTCCCTTACTCGGTTTTGTTCTTTGAGTCAATCAATCTGTACCCCACTTTTCCTAGTCCTACCTACACATGCACCTTTCTGCTCCTCTCACCACCAGGCCCTCAAACCCCACCGAATCACCTGCCACTGGTTTAACTAGGAGCCCTGGACACTCAACAGTTAACACTTGGCTGCTGACTGATGGCGGTGATGGGAGACTTGCTTCTTAAACCTCAGTCTGAAAAACCCCAGGGGGAAATTCCACTGTCCTGTGGGTTCCCTCTAAGCCAAAAATCAACTCGAGAGCACAGACCAACAACAGTGTTTTAGTCGCAGGTATAAAAGCATTTAACAGGCTTGTGTCCCGGGAGTTCCTATTTTCTCTCCCATTCCACCTTCATCTCCACTGCCCTTACGCTAGAACTGTTGCAAGAGCAACAGCAGCTTTGTTTCAGAGCGGGCTTCAGAGTGAACGGCCCAGCTGGAGCCCTCACGGACGCTTCCTGTGTTACCTACCTGAAGCCTCCAAGGTGTTTTCCTTCACCTGTAAAACGGGGCTGCAACCACTTACCTTCAAGGCCCTGATAAGGACTAAACTGAGTAACATGTTCACCATGCATAATGCTCGACAGACCTTCAGCTTTCAATAAATAGGATCCACTTTTATTCTGCACATTATATATCAACATTCCCCCCATATATCCAAAATCATCAATCTTATGTTAAAGAAACAGCTTCATGGGTAGCCATAGGCTGACAGTAAAATCTGAGCAGCACGTATCTTGGGTCTTACTAGCCTGGCCCCTAACCTCGCCCTCCACCCCACCCTCTACTGCTCAGAGGAAATAGAAAGGAGCTCCTCTTTAATACTTTGGGGACCCCTGGTAAAACTGAGAGAGAAGTAACATATACAAGTGTATTGTCCTGGGCAAGCTTAAAGGCTCTGACCACTCTCCATTCCAGAACTCTCCCCTTGGAGTTCTCGTAGTCCTGGGCAAAGCAGAGTTCTCAAAGGTGAACGCCTGATGAATGACCAGACTCTTCCTCCAGGCACCCAGTGGTGTGCATGGGGACGGTAGTCCTCATTCCTCCAACACCACCACAGCCACACTCTACTCTCGCCACAAACTGGAGAAGACTACAAAGGAACTGGGTGGGCTGGGAATAACAACTGCCATACACCTGACATCTATGTAGCATTTTGCAGCTTTAAAAACATATTCAAATATAGGTTCTGACTGGATCTTCATTATATGACGTTAAGGCCAGGCACATTCTGTCCTTCTATCGTGGGCAGCTGATGACTCTGGATACTATATATAAGGGAGAGCAACACTGGAGAGAATGACTTTTAATGACAGATTTAGGGAGAGATTGAAGCAGTTACAACAATCCTGAAGAAGTCTCCCCCCAAACCAACAGTTGTCCTAATGTCATGTTATTGCTGAAACAAGAAGATATTTAAAATTCAAAACTCAATGCCATTAGAAGGTAAATGAGCAAACAAACCAAAGGAAAACAGTCCGGGATCCTAATTACCTGGAAGCCAATGGTTTGCAGTTCATGGTGGAGGCTATCCAGGACACGCCGTCCATCAAAGATAAAGGCTGGCTTCAACATTTTTTTATGAATGCGTTCATAATCCAGTTCCTGTACAGACAGACACAGAGGAAGACTGGACCATGTACATACCCAGATACTGAGCCCTGATACCAGGACACCTCTAGAAATTTCCCCTTAAGATCATTTGTCACCTCACCTTAAACATGTCCCACTCAGTGCAAATAACAACAGCATGAGCACCATCACATGCCTCATATGGATCCTTGGAAATGGTCACCAGTCGGGCCACTGGCACAACAAATGAGGAGAACCAGAGAAGAGTTATTTGAAGTCATGCATTTTTACACCACAAATAGAGAAGGAATTGAGGATCTATGATGGTAATCTACTCTGAGATTCCTAAAAGTCTCCAATTTAGGCTGAAGCCAATTCGCTGAGAGAAGTGGGGCAGTCTGGCTGAAGTGCCAGTGGGGAAGATACAGTGCAGTGTCCAGAGCATCCCCATCTTACTCCAGAAGGGCCATCTTGGAATCTTTGGAGATTTATGGAATATTGTAAGAAAAACCCCACAACCAAACATTAGATTCACCCACAGCTGGTCACTTCAAACCTGAGAAAACACGGCTAAGAGGTTGAAAAGCGGGGGCGGGGCCCATACTCAAGCCTTACCTTGGTCATCAGCTGAAACACCTGGATGAGAAAGATCCACAACTATTTGTTCCCTGGGTACTTTTGGATCATATATATGGAGGTGTGCACCTTCATCCATCAAATATTTGCTAATATATATACTAGAGGACTCTCTGAAAAGGAAAAAAACACAGTATATTGCTGTTTTTTAATGCATTACATTTTAATATTCAGGGAGTGTAAGATACAGGTTAAGACTGTTTAATTGGCTAAGTGATGAGCAAATTAATGACTTTAATTTTAATCTTTGTTTTATATAATCATATATCGTTGTTGCAACACATAGCAATCCTATATGCAAAAGAATAAAACCAGGCTCGATCCTGTGCATCCTTAGAATTATGGCTGTTTGTGATCACTGTTGCAGGCGCTGTGCCAATCCAGCTGTGAGGGTTTCCTTTCAATGACCCTCTGCGTTACCAAGCGTGAGGGCCCTTTCCAGTGACGGATCTCTCCTGATAACAAGTCCAACGTAGGTGAGACCTCATCCTTGCTTTTAAGGATGCATTCTGGCTGTACTTCACCCCAGACAGATTTATTCATTCTTCTAGCTGCCTAGTAATATTATTCACCACATCATAAATCAAATACATCAAATCTTCTCTGTCTTCCTTACTCATTCACTAGGTTTTGTACACAGATGAGGTAATTGAAAATATTATGGTGCTGGCTGCTGTCGTTAGGGGGCATTAAGTACACTCTGGTCCATGGTGATGCTAGGCACAACAGAATGAGACACTGCCTGGTTGTTCCTGTGCCTGAGCTCATTGTTGCAGCCATGATGTCAATCCATCTCCTTGTGGGCCCACCTCTCTTCACTGCTCCTCCCTCCGCTTTACCAAGCATGCTGTCCTTCTCCCGGGACTGGTCTCTCCTGACAATTATGTCAAAAAGCATGTAAGAAGAAGTTTGGCTACCCTTGCCTCTAAGGAGTACTCTGGCCTAGCTTCTTCCAACACAGAGCTTTGTCCTTATAGTAGTCATGGTACTTTCAATATTCTTCCCCAGCACCACAATTCAAATGCATTGATTTTACTTCAGTCTTCCTTATTCGGTGCTCAATTTTCACATGTGTAAGGTAACTGAAAATACTACCGCTTGCCTGGCAGTTTGCTGTACTGTATGTGGTGGCTCATGTACTGCTGCGATGCTAAGAAGCGATGTCACTGGTATTTCAAATGCCAGCAGGATCACCCAAAGTAAACCGATTTTAGAGGAGCTTCCAGACTAATGACAACAAAGAAGGAATGGCATGGGCTAGGTGCACCGTAAAGAGCCCTGGTGGTGTAGTGGTTAAGCACTGGGCTGAGATCCACATGGTTGGTAGTTCAAAACCACCACTAGCTCCTTGGGAGAAAGACTGCTCTCTGTTCCCACAAACAGTTACCATCTTGGAAATCCATGGGGGTTCACGATGAGTCAGCATTGACTCGATTGCAGTGAATGCAGTGAGAGGTGTACCTTAGTCTTCAAGGGGACATTATTTGCTTTCAAACCTTTTAAAGATGTCTTTTACAACAGATTTGCCTGGTTTAATCCATTAATTTCTCACTGCTGTTTCCATAGATGTTGATTGTCGATCCAAGTAAAATTAAACACTTTACAACCTAATGCTTTCCTCCAGTTATCATGCTGTCTATGGTCCAGCTGGTAAGAGGTTGTTTTCCTCATGTGGAGGTGTACTACAAACGGATAGTGTAGTCTTTGATGCTCAGCAGTAAGTGCTTGAAGTCCTCTGGGCTTTCAGTAAGCACGGATGTACCTGCTTACCACAGGTTGTTAATGACTCGTCCCCCAATCCTGAAACTGCACTGTTCTTCATACAGTCCAATTTCCTGAATTACTTGTTCATCAGACAAACTGAGTTAATTAAGTATGGTGAAAGGATACAACCCCAAGGCATATATTTCCTGATTTTAAATCCTGCCTTGTCCGCTTGTTTCATTAGAAGGCTGTCTCTTAATTTATGTAGTTTCTGCATGAAGACAATTAAGTGCTCTGGAATGCCCACTCTTCACAATGCTATCCATAATTTGCTATGATCCATGTAGTCTAATGTTTTTTCTGAATCTCCTTTGAATTTCTGGCAGCTTCCTGTACTGTTGCAGCCCTATCTGAATTTTCTGCAGCACATTTTATTTGCCTCTGATACAGATGATATCGTTCAGTATTTCCTGCACTTCATTGGATCACCTTTCTTTGCAAAAGACACATATAAGGATCTCTCCAGTTGGCTGGCCAAGTAACTGTCTCCCAAATTCTTGGCACAGGTGAGTGAGCACTTCACTTCAATGCTTCATCAGCTTGGTGAAACTTTTCAGTTGATATTCCATTAATTTATGGAGTCTTATTTATTTAATTATTTTTTGCCAATGCCTTCAGTGTAGCTTGGAATTCTTCCTTTAATACCAGAGAAACAAAAAAACTCACCGTCGAGTCAATTCTGACTCATAGCGCCCTATAGGATAGGGTAGAATTGCCCTGTTGATTTTTGAGTCTGTAACTCTTTATGTAAGATTGAAAGACGCATCTTTCTCATGGAAAGCAGCTGGTTGTTTTGAACTGCTGGTTTTACGGTTAGCTGCCAATGCGCACTCACTATGCCACTCAGTCTTTGATTATATGCTACCTTCTGAAATGGTGAAAGCCAATCAATTCTTTTTGGTACAGTGACTGCATTCCTCCAACTATCTTTCTTTTTCTCTTAAGAGAAAACAGAATGTATGTTTTGGATGTGGAAAAAAATGGTTTATGTAAATTTAAATGAATGATAAACAATCTAGGGAAAAAATTCTACTGTATTAGAATTTGACTGGACATATTTACAAAGGCAAAGAGCAATTTTATGAAAATGTTAGAATTTATAATGTTCTAGAAATGATAATATTAACAATTAATTACTTGAAATTATGAAGAAAAATCTTAGCTCCTAACCTAAGATATTTGTGGCTTGGGGAAGTCATAGTTCTTCAGCATTCTTTTAGACTTAGGGGCAAGTTTTTAAAGCAGATTTGTGAAGCTGATTTAATTCCCACTTGCCTGTGTTCCCAATTTTCATTCCTCTTTTTTCCAGAAGCCTTCCTGCCTTTCGACCTTTGTTCCTGGGCAAATGGTACCTTTTGGATTTCCCCTGAGGCTGTTAACCTTGTAAGCCTGCTTATCATTTGGCTGCAAGTTGAGCCACAGGGCAAAGAATGTCAAGTCTCAGCGGTCCCCCCAGTTTCTATCCAATCAGTAAGTCTGGTCTTCCCTATGATTTTGTATTTCTGTCCACATTTTTCTCCCATCCTATCCAGGACGTTCTAATGTAATCCCTTCCAGAGTTATCGAAGTAGTATTTTTTTATGGTAGTCTATCTAGTCTCAGAGGTGTGGAGGCTGAGGCTCATGTGATCTCTTAATCTTTGGGACTAATTGTTTGTGTCTCTGATTTTCTGCCTTCTTCTTTCTCTGGACAAGAGGAGACCAGAGTTGCATCTTAGAAGGCTGCTCACAAGCTTTTAAGACCACAGTTGCTACTCATCAACATAGGATGTAAAATACTATCTTTGTGAACTTTATGCTAATTGATGTTGGTTGTCCCGCCCTTGCCCCCCCCACTATGATCCTGAGCCCCAAGGACCAGTGACATTTTCTCATGCTTGATTATGACTGAAAAACCGTCAAAATTTTGCCTTCATATGTATTCCTGAATCTATTTTTGCACATATAGAAATCTCAGCTTTCAAATCTATGTGTACATATACATCAGTAGTCTTATTTGCATTCCTAATTGTTCAGCTTGAGTATTTATCTTTGTAGTCCCTTGTATAGCAAAAATGCATTGACATTGAGTCAATTCTGTCAAATGCTGACTGACTCTATTATTATTTTATTGCAAGACTGTGTATATAATTGTATTACCTTTGTTGCCTTTATCTCATTTTCTTCTCAAGGTCTTTCTGTCTCAAACATTTTGTGCTGCCCTCTCTCTTACTGTATCCTGCCTTTTATGCTTCCTGCATGATTCAATATCTCGCCCCCAGACTCCTTCAATAGAGCAACTTTAGGTTTGAGTTTTTCCTTTATTTCTTTCATGTTGAGAAATGTCTTCTATAATTTTCCTTTTTGGTTTTTCAACTCTAGGTCTTTGCATATCTCACTTTAATACTTTACTTTTTCTTCTTGAGCTGGTCTTTGAAATTTTCTCTTCAGCTCTTTATTTCTTCCATTCACTTAACCTACTCTGAGTTCAAGAGCAAGTTTCAGAGTCTCTGACATCTATTTTGTATACATATCCCACACACCTCCACCAACCAACCAATCAGGATAAGGTAAAGAGTTTCACACTCTCAGTAGCATTTGAAATACTTCAAGTAACTGATACCTCGTATCACCAGTGTCCTTTTTGAATGCAAATCCCAGAATAGCTATCTTCTTATCAGTCACGGTATTAAATAAGCTGTCTATAATCCGGGAAGCAAACCTCCTCCTCTGGTAGTCATTCATGTCTATGACCTGAAATTACATGTACAATCGTGCAATGATCAGTTAAAAGAGGTGCAGCTTGTAATATAATATTGCTCAGATTTTATGTTGAGTATTCTTTTACGATTACAAGCCTTCCAAATTAACTGGAGGCAAAGAGTAACCAACCTCTTTAGCTTGTACACATTAAAAAAAGCAGAGGATGAACCCGCTCTCCTTTCTTCCTACAAGCCATCCTAGACATTTATCCTTCCATTTGGTTTGACGTTCCATGAACTGGGCTAAGGTAAATGTATAGAAGGGGAAGCTAAAGATTCATCCATAAGAGTATTTGAATACAGTAATGAGCCAACCTAAATAAGGTAAGTAAATTCAGTGATTTTTCTTGTTTGTCAACTTCTTCTAGATCAGTGGAAACAAGGTTGTAAGCAATCAAACCCCAAATATTACCTGATTTACCTCTCCCCTCACTTCCGTAACTCCCCACCCTTCACCAAAATTGACTGTAAGACTAGACAGGGAACAATGAAACAATATACACTGTTATACCTGTCTCTAGGCAGTCCATAACCACACAAATACTTGAGTTTTTAATTAAATATTTTAAGAATCTTTGACCACCTAATCTTTTAATTCCAAGAATTATATATATAAGACTTCAGGTTGGTAACCAGGTGAATATAAGGAGAGAGACAGTTCTGTTTGTCATTTTAAAAAGGTATTAAATTTCTAGGGGTCAACTCAAACCTGGAGAGTTTAGGAACTTGGGAAATTAGCCCAAAGTGTAAAAGTCAGCCTTTATCTACATTTTCCCAATGATACTAAGTAAGATGAAGCCATCATGCTGGATTGAGTGAAGGAACAGAGAACATGTATATTTTTCTTTAAAAAAAAAAAAAGCACATTTCCTTAGCTTCTCACCCATATCTATTGCTGAGAAAAGTTATTCTATCAGGTGAACTATTTGGGAAAAGCATATTAGGCAAATTACTTTATGGCTTGAAACCTAAGTTTCCTCATTTATAACCAATCTCAAAAAAAGACAAACAAAAAACAACCACCTACTACCATGAAGTTGATGCCAACTCATAGAGACCCTACAGGGGAGGGTGGAATTGCCTCTGTGCATTTCCAAGACTGATACTCTTCATGGGAGTGAAAAAGCCCCGTCTTTTTCCCTTGGAGCAGGCTGGTGGTTTTAAACTGCGAACCTAACAGATTAAATGCTAATTCATAACCACTACATCACTTGCCATAATCTATTCTCAATCACCACAACCCCATCTATGTCAGAGAAGAACCAAGAACTATGCCCGTGGGGTTTTCGGTGGGTGATTTTTCAAAAGCTGACTGATAGGCCTTCCTCATGAGCTGTGTCTGGGGCGACTTGAACCTCCAACCTCCCATTTAGTAACTTATTGGCACCACCCAGGGATACCTTCCATCTATAAATGAGGGATCATGTGAGCTAAATAAATGCTAACTCTTTCCTAGAGCCCATTCAATGTTCCTAATTTGGGAAAAGTCATTAATTTTAGCCCTGTGGATCTGGAAAAGATAAAACAAGTATCAAAACATGCAAACTACTTGAAAGTATTGCAATCTAGGTTATGCTATCATTGCGCTTTTATGAGTCCCAAGATAAAAAATTAAAATTAAGAATAACAGTTCTTGAATTATTCTGGGAACAAATTTAGTTTAAGATTACAGGAAATACTGGCTTCTAAGAAACTTCCAACATAGTTGTTTAGCAAAACACCAACAAAGTAGAGAGCAAATGTCTTGAGAATGATGAGGGTAACGAATGTGCTTTATACAACTGATGTATGTATTGTGATAAGAGTTGTATGAGCCCCCCAAAAAATGATTTTAAAAAGCAAACAAAAGCACCAACAAAGTAAAAACAATGAAGTAAAAAAAAAACAAAAACAAAAAAACCCCACAATGAAGTCTAATAAAGTAAATAAATATAGTTTTCTTGGGGGAAATAAATATATCCCATCTACACATCTCATAGGCAAAGCATGACTTGTTTTCATTAAAAAGTAATGGAAAATTTTTTGTAATAAAGATGAATACCTGCTGCCAATAACGAGCTACTTCAGGCAAATTCAAAGCCTCACAGAGATACACCAAATTCAGAACATCTTTTTGAAAGCAGCTCCCACCAAAACCTGAAGAAAAAGTCAACATATTTGATGTAAGAACCACATACCAAATCAGCAAGCAGACTATGCTAGGCGTTCTCATAATATTACAGATGTTGGAAAACTCATGGGCTGACACCTTGTGTGACATTAGTCAACATTTTAAGTAGTTTGCAAATAATTTTCTTAAGTTTAATTATGACTAGTCACATTTGAATTTTTGTCATATATTTTATCTTCTTTTTTTCTTATTTATGTGGTATCACAGTCCCACATTTATTTTTTTCAAATGTGCCATGTACCAGTGACCGGGCTATGGAGGCTGCTGAAAAGGAACAGCCCCCATGCATACATCACAGTATTACTCTGGCCCATCGCCATCGACCGGAGAGCTGTACCTGAACAACAGCACCCAGCAACCACAGGGCATTGTCCCACATCTCTTACTGAAGAAGGTCAACAAGCAAAATGCTTTCAGCATCCCAAAAAACTGTTGCCATAGTTAAAAAAAAAGCAGGAGTAGCAATATTAGTTTTTGACAAAACAAACATCAAAGTAAAAGTCAGCATGAGAAACAAGGAAGGCCATTATGTAAGGATGAAATCTAAAATGGAACACAAAGGCATAACCCTAACAAATACCGATGCACCCAATGAAAACCTTCAAAATACAAGAATTAAACTCGTATAGAATTGAACAGATAAATACATGATAATACTATGACTTCAATACATCACTTCTGAGAAAAGACAGAACAACTAGCAAGAAAGTCAACAAAGATATGGAAAAACTATACGGGGTGGGGGGGGGTGGGGGGGCAGAGGGGGAAAGAGGAGTTGATACTAACCGCTCAAGTAGAAAGAAATGGTTTGGAAATGTGACGGTGACATATATACAAGTGTGCTTAATACAGCTGAATGATGCATTGTTGTAAGATTTGTAAGCACCCCCAGTAAAATGATTAATAAAAAACTATACAACAATTAATCAACTTGATCTCTGTGGGCATAAACAGAACACTTCCCCCAACAAAAGTAAAATATACATTTTTTTCAAGGGTACATGGAATGTACTACAGAAGAGATCATATGTCAGACTATAAAGCAAGTATCAATAAATTTTAAAACATTGAGATACTACACACCATTTGTTTCAGATCACAATGCTATAAAATTAGAAATCAACCATCGGGCTGCAACCAAAGTCATAAATAAATAGAATCAATGACACGGAAACTAAACACTTTTCTTAAAAGCCACTGGGAATCTGAAGAAATAGAGTACAGTTTAAAAATTCTTTGAAACAAATGAGAACAAAAATACAACTAACCAGAATCTCTGGGACACAAGAAAAACGGTATTCAGAGCACACATCAACGAGGAAGAGTAACAATAAACACTACCACACCACCTACAACAATCAGAACAAGATCAGCAAATGAACTCTCATACACTAGAAGAAAAAATACCAAATATTAGAATATATAAATAAATCAGACACCAAAAAAAATCAACAAGACAAAAAGTTGGCTCTTCAAAAGGATTAGTAAAAATTGATAAAACACTGACACCTTAGCAAAGGAAGGAGAAAAAGCAAACAAGAAATTAAATGGACTTCCACTACAGAATCAGCCAAAATAAAAAATAATTATATAGTATTATGAAAAATTGTATTCCAACAAATTTGGAAATCAACAGAAAGTTAATAAATTTCTAGAAACATATTACCTACCTATATTAACATAGACCAATGTAGAAAGCCTCAAGGAGGCTTATAACACAAGAAATAGATCTGGTCATTAAAAAACTCCCATTGACAAAAAGTCTGGTTTTACTGGGGCATTCTACCAAGCAGTTAGAGAAGAGTTAACATCAATCCTACATAAACGATTTCAAAATATAGAAAAGGATAAGATACTACCAAACTAATTTTAAGAAGCAAGCATAACCCTGATACCGAAGCCAAACAGACATCACCAGAATCGAAAGTCAAAGACCAATATCCATTATGAATATAGATGCCAAAATCTTCAATAAAATTCAAGCCAAGAAGTCAACACAATAGTGAAAATATAATACATGATGATCATGTGAGATCCATACTAGTTATGCAAAGATGGTTCAGGATTAGAGAAACAATCACTGTACACCACATAAACAAAACAAAGGAAAATAGTCATGTATCAATCAATGCATAGAAGGCATTTGATAAAACTGAACATCCGTTCTTGATAAAAACACTTAATAAAATAGGGATAGAAGAAAAATTTCTCAACATAATTAAGACCCTATATGCAAAATTAACGGCTAGCATAGCTTCTCACTCAATGGAGAAAAATACAACCAAGCACCTACAGATATCTGATTTTTGGACTAAAACTCAGTAAGTGGGGAAGAGAAGATAGCCTTTTCAATAAATGGTGCTGGAAAAATTGGATCTCCACCTACAAAAGAATGAAACAGGACCCATACCTCACACCATGTACCAAAAGGAACGCAAGAAGGATTATAGAACTAGATATAAATCCTAGAACCATAAGAGATTTTAAAAAAATTTTACAAATGATCAAGGGTTCACGAGGGAGGGAGAGTGGGTGAGGGGAGGAAATGAGCTGATACCAAGGGCTCAAGTAGAATGAACATGTTTTTAAAATGATGATGGCAACATATGTACAAATGTACTTGACACAATGGATTTATTTATGGATTGAACCGATGAACAAGGATCTACATGTTACCTCCTCCTTCGGAAACGAACAACAGAAAAGTGGGTGTAGGGAGATGTCGGACAGGGCAAGATATGACAAAATAATAATTTATAAATTATCAAGGGTTCATGAGGGAGGGGGAGCGGGGAGGGAGGGAAAAAAAAACGAGGAGCTGATGCCAGGGGCTTAAGTGGAGAGCAAATGTTTTGAGAATGATGAGGGCAATGAATGTATAAATGTGCTTTATACAATTGATGTATGTATGGATTGTGATAAGAGTTGTATGAGCCCCTCATAAAACAATTGAAAAAAAAAAGAAGAACTCTTAAGAGAGGGGAAAAAAGATATCAGGAGCCCAAGTAGAAAGAAAATGTTTTGGAAATGATGATGGCAACATATGTACAAATGGGCTTGATATGTTATTAAGCAGGGATCAATTATTATAAGAGGTATAAGAGCCCCCAATAAAATTATTTATTAAAATTAATAAATAATAGTAAGATACACTATGAAAAATAAAAAAAGGAAGTACTGCCCACAAAAGAAGAACTCTTGTAAGTGTTGAAAAGCAAGGTTACTCTGAGCACCAGGATGTGCCTGACCCAAGCAATGGTATTTTCAATTAAGATGAATCAATGTGTTTGAACTATGGTGCTGGTGAAGAATACTCAAAGTACCATGGACTGCAAAAAGTAGAAAGAAGTTTTGTCTTGGAGTGCAGCAGAGTGCTTCTTAGAAGCAAGGATGGTAAGACTTCGTCTTCTGTACTTTAGACATGCTGTCAGGAGAGACCAGACCCTGGAGGAGGAGGATATATGCTTGGTGCAGAGGGGCAGCAAAAAAGGCCCTCGACAAGATGGACTGACACAGTGGCCTCAAACATAGGAACAACTGGAGGATGGCTCAGGACTGGGCAGTGTTTGCTCTGTTGTCCATAGGGCGCCTATGAATGGGAACCTGAATCAATGGCAACGAACAAGCTAGTATGAAACAAACAAACAAAAACTCTTGACATGACCTTTCCTCTTGAATGGACCACTTCCATTTCTTAGCAGTGATGTGATTGCACTCTTTCTTCAAGGTCGCTACTGGCAAAGCCAATTCATCTCCTGTTAAAATTCTGCAAATAAATGCTTCAGGATCTTGATCCCACTTGTTTCAAATTTCCATGGAAAACTATGCTCTTGGCACAACAGTTTGGGCACTTGTTGAGCAGAAACTTGCTCAAATCCTTCAGTCAGGAATGTGTAAAATTAAACAACTCAGATGTCTATGATTTTGGCTATTGTGTCTCCTGTTAACTCTTGGTCCTCTTTAATTAAGGGAAGAACAAGATTGTTTCCTTACAAATTGATGAGGATGGCCTGCCCTTCAGGCTTCAACTTCAACAGTTGCATCCTTTCTTAAAAAAAGATATTACGTTGTAAACTGCAGATTTCTTTCGGGCATTTTCCCCACAAATTTTTGATAAAGTATTGATTTCACCATTTTTCACCCAAGCTTCACTATAAATTTGATGTTCTTGTTGCAATTTTAGCAGAACTCATGTTGCTCTGATAGTGGTTCTTTTCAAGCAGCCGTCTTGTCCTTAGTGCCTCACACTAGATCCTACTCAGATATGTTGTAACAACTCAGTACAAGCTTATTTGGGTGCAAAACAAAAGAAAAAAGAAATCCATGCATAGTTTTAAAAAAAATAACATGCTTCTTCTATGACTTTTTTTGAAGACCCCTTGTATTTTTATCAAGTGGTAGCTTGAAGAAAACAACATAAAAATAATAAATAAAGGCAGGGAACCAACAGTGGGAGAAAGCATGTTGCCATTGTTGTTAGTTCCAACTTGCAGGCACTGTATACACCACACTGAAATACTGCCTGGTCTTGTGCTACAGTCACAATTGTTGCAGCCACTGTGTCAGTCCAACTCTTTGAAGGCCTTCCTCTCTTTTGTCGACTAAGCGTGAGGTCTGATGTCTCTGTCCAGGAGCTGCCCCCTCACGATACATGAGATGAAGTCTCGTCATCCTCACTTCTCAGGAGCATTCGCACTGTGCTTCTTCGTTGCTTTGGCAGTCCACGGTTTATTCAATATTCTTCACCAACAACATAACTCAATGCCTCCATTTTTCTTTGGTCTGCCTTATTCACTGTCCAGCTCTCATGCATCTGAAGTGAATGAAAAGATCGTGGCTTGGGCCAGACAAACCCTAATCCTCAAAGTAACATCTTAAGTTTTTTTTTAACATTTCAAAATATTAAAGAGGGCATAATTCAAAAACGGACTGCCATTGAGTCAATTCCAACTCACAGAAACCTTAGAGGACAGAGAATTGCCCCTGTGGGTTTCTGAGACTATAACTTTATGGGAATAGCAGGCTTCATCTTCTCCCATGAAGTGCCTGGTGGTTTTGAACTACTGACCTTGAGGTTAATAAGTCAATGTGTAACCACTAAACCACCTGGGCTTCTAAAATGGTATTTAAAAAAAAAAAACCGGGAGAAAGGAGGGGGAAAAATGAGGAGCTGATGCCAGGTTCTTATGTGGAGAGCGGGTGTTTTGCGAATGATAAGGATAACGAATGTACAAACGTGCTTTATACAATGGATGGATGGATGGATTGTGATAAGAGTTGTATGAGCCCACAATAAAATGATTTAAAAATAAAAAACTCACTTCCATCAAGTCGATGCAAACTCATAGTGACCCTATAGGATAGCGTAGAACTGTTTCTGTGAGTTTCCGAGACTATAACTTTTTCTGGGAATAAAAAGCCCTTTCTTTCTCATGGAGTGCCTGGTGGTTTTGAACTACTAACCCTGTGGTTAGCAGGTGAATGCATAACCACTATATGACCAGGGTTCCAAAGAAGGCACAGGACCCTAGAAATGTTGAATAGGCTGCCTAAAGTCCAATCTGTAAAAGACTGTATTCATCTTTATATTAAGTTTATTAAACTCATTGCTGTTGAGCCCATTTTGACTCACAGTAACTCTATAGGGCAGAGGAGAACTGTCCCTGTGGGGTTCTGAGACTGCCACTCTTTAAAGGAGTAGAAAGCCTTTTCTTTCTCCTATGAAGTGGATAGGGGTTTCAAACTGCTGACCCTGAGGTTAGCAGCCCAACACACAACCCACTACTCCACAGGTGCTTAGCTACCTTAAACAGTATGTCACAAGGTCCCATTTTCATAAATATGTTAGCAGGGAATTCTTTTCATGCTTGATTAAATAAGCTGTTCATTGAGTTATTTTATATGTGGTATCCCAAAATTGTTTTTCTTAAATGTTTTACTAAATACTATACTGAATGATGTGTATCTTACCTAACTAGTCAGTAACTATTACACAATGTAAGTAACTATTGCCTCACTTAAACACTCCCTGGTAGGCGGAAAGTCATATGTATAACAGAATCATTTTTTAAGGGCATTAAGTTAAAGATTTGCTTAAAGTTGATTATTTAGCAAAAAGAACCAACTTTACTTAGAAAAAATATTCAATTTACCAACACTGGCTTTCAGAAACTTATTTCCAATTCTCTGGTCCATTCCAATGGCTGTCGCTACCTCTTCTACGTCGGCTCCTGTTGCTTCACAGAGGGCACTTATAGAGTTAATGCTGCTGATTCTCTGGGCTAGAAAAGCATTCGCTGCCTTGAAAAAAAAAGTAAAGTATGATGAGCTAAAAGTATAATTTTATACATTTATATTACACTTCATTAAGCTGATTCAAATTACTAAGGGAGATGGAAAAGATACTCAAATTTGAGAAGGCATTGGAGGGATTTGTAAAGGAATACATTTTACACAGAAGATTAAGAGAGATTCATGGGTTAGTGATGACAGAAAAATAGTTATTTTAATGTACTCCCCCATTTTATTAAAAATTTAGAATTTCCAAATATTTAATGCACTGACATTTGATCCCTCCCCTCATGAAAATTATCTCACAATTCAAAAATCCTTGGCTTTAAATTTAAATGGGGAGTTGAATGCTATGTACCAACCAGTTTGGAAAGTTCTGAAGACCAAGTATTAGTCGTGAGAATTTTTTCTCTGGGAACCCAATGTTCATACACGGCACACAGTGCCTGCACAGCTTTCTGACCCTCTGGGGTTTCATCCCCTCCAATCAGTACTCTGTCTGGGTTCTTTAGGTCCTTGATGGCCGTCCCCTCTGCCAAGAACTCAGGGTTGGACAACACCTAGAATCCCAAAGAAAATAAGAGTTTGGTTTTTTTAAAAGAAGAGTTTTAAGCTACACTTAACTATAGGCAACTTCATGATTTTAATAATATTTGTATAAGCAGCAACAGATTCTAACGCTCCCTTTGTTATACCTGTAAGTTCAAGTTGGGTTTTGTGTTTGCATCAAATATACGACGAATACTTTCTGCTGCTCGCACTGGAACTGTGCTTTTCTCAGTCACAATTTTGTACCCATGTGAGTTCTGCACAATGCGTCTAGCACAAGCTTCAATGTACTTCAGATCGGCAGCACGGCCTTTCCCCATCCCATAGGTTTTTGTCGGAGTATTCACCTAATGAAAGCAAGCACAGAGGATGAAGAACAGAGTACCTGTGAGATCTTCAGTGACTCCTAAGAAATACCTTGTATCATCAATGAGCCAGGTAAGTACAAGTTAATCTCTATAAGTTACCCTGATTTAACCCTCTTTTAAGTCCATGGATAGAATACATTCTATAAACTTAATAGAGCCAGGTTAATTCCAGTAGCATCTGGAGAATGTATTCAATACATTTTGTTGAGAAACTACTCCCTATAAACCAGGGAAGGCAGGTTCTAAGCCAAGCTCTAGAATTAAAAAGATGAATGAAAGCATTCTTATCTTTACGGTGTTCAGTTTGAAATAAAAAATGTGTCCTTTTTCTTTTCTTTATTATATATAATATATTAGAGTTTTTAAAACTAAGTTTAAACTTCCTTTTTACTCCCCCACTTTTATAGGCTTATTAATAGCTTTTAAAAATATGTTTATAAAAATAAATAAAAATGTTTATATTATCATTCACAAATGCTTTCCTGGCTCTTTAAAGTTATAAATTAGCTAGCATGTTTAGTATGCAAAATATTATTTGAAGATAGACTTTTAGACAGACAGAAAGTAATTCATGAGCCCAAAGTCTAGGCACTTAGTTTTGCTTGTTTGTTTTTAAATCATTTTATTGGAGACTCTTAGAGCTCTTATAATATCCCATTATGATAAAGAGAGAAAAAGTTGAATTTGTCAAGGATTTTTTCTAACTTGGATCTACAGTCAATGCTGATGGAAGCAGCAGTCGAGAAATCAAAAGATGGTTACTTCGAGGACGAAGGTGCACCTGACCCAAGCCAGGGTATTCTCCACTGCATCATATGCATGTGAAAGCTGGACGCTAAATAAGGAAGACCACTGAAGAATAGATGCATTTGAATTGTGGTATTGGAGAAGAATATTGCAAATACCATGGACTGCTAAAAGAACCAACATCTATATTGAAAGAAATAAGGCCAGAGTGCTCCTTAAAGGCAAAGATGGCAAGGCTTCGTCTTACATACTTTGGACATAGTCCCTGGAAAAGGACATAATGTTTGGTAGAGAGGAGGGGCAGCAAACACGAGGAAGGCCCTCAATGAGATGGACTGACGCAATGGCTGCATCAGTGGGCTCAGGCACAGGAATAATTGTGAGGATGGCACAGGACTGTGCAGTGTTTTGTTCTCTTGTGCACTGGGTCCCTATGGGTTGGAGCCAACTCGAAAGCACCTAGCAGAGAGAACGCAACAGAGCACAGTCGTGGTGTATGACTCTTATAATACGCTGTTGAATTCTGTTGGCTGCAATAGTTATGGAAGCAGATCATCAGATCTTTCTCCCTCAGTCACTAGCGGGTCTGAACTAACAACCATTTTTCCCCACCAACCTTTTGGTTAGCAGCTGAGTGCTTAACCATTGCACCAAACTACTTTTAAAGTGGTTAAACCCATCGCTGTTTTGTCAATTCTAACTCATAGCAACTCCACTGAACAGAGTAGAAATGTCTCATAGGATTTTCAAGGCTATCAACTTCATGGAAAAAGGCAGTTACAGCTTCTCCCCAGAGAATAATGAGTGGGGTTACTTCTGGTTTCGTTACCACTTTCTTCTGGAGCTCACATATCCTTACATTACTACTTTTGTCTCACTACTGTAAGAACTCCTTAGTCAACAATCTACAAATACTTACTATATATAACCAATGAGAGAAGTCTTTCCTTTATCTTATGGGACAGTGACCACCGTGTATACTCGAGCATAAGCCAAATTTTTCAGCACATTTTTAATGCAGTTTTTGTGGTAAAATTAGGTGTCTCGGCTGAGATTCGGGTCAGCTATACTCGAGTATCAATGGTCAGTTCACCCCATTGGCTTTCCCTTTATTGACAAGGCACTAATTGTATGTCAGTCACCAATTGGTGATAGCTAGTTATACCATCACATATAGAATGCTTGAGTAGATATTAATGAGACATTAATAAATAAATTATCTCGATTCAAACATTATATTACTTTTAATCCATGAGTTAAACTTTTTCATTGCAAAATTACATTCATGAGTTTAAAGGTTTCTGGGGGTTTAGCATGATAACCAACAGGTACAAAATTCCAAACAACTAACTTTAAAATGACTTTGGGAACAGAGTTCATTAAGATAAACTCAAAAACCAAACTCACTGCCACGAAGTCGATTTTGACTCAAGAGAACCCCTATAGGACAGGGTAGAACTGCTCCTGTGAGTAATTCTTTATGGGAGTGGGAAGCGCATCTTTCTCCGACACAGCAGTTGTTGGTTTAGAATTACTGACCTTGTGCTTAGCAGACCATTATGTAACCCACTATACCAACAGAGCACCAGTTCATTTGTAGCAGTAATGTCTATATTATGTGCCAATGAGTTGACTTTACTTCTTCTCTATGAACCAGTGAAAACAAGAAATGATGAAACATACATACACACAACCCTCTCACATACACATTATCATTACGTACTCCCACTTTATCAGTAGTTTCTAGTTCTAAATCTCAGATAGAACTTTCTCCAAGTTTACTTGTTCAGTGTTCTGAAGTGGTATTTGACAAGATGACGATGAAATGTTTAACCAAATGATTGTAAGATTGGTGAACTGACAGACATAAAGTTAGTAGTAACCAAAATTCAACAGGGTAATTCTATACCATAATTCCCAAAGGCCTACCACCTCTTTAAGAGAAAAAAATTATTCAGTGTCCCCTTGGCTATTAAAAACTTTTGCATAGAGTATAGGTATCTATTTTTGCAGTCCCCTGGATCATTTCAGAAGTTCCCAGGGGGTGTGGTATCACCCATTTCAGTGAACACCGCTGTACAGTAAGTAATGTTGTGGCTTCATATTAATTAATGTAAACTGAAACTTTCAGATAGACAAAAAATATATTAATATTCAAACAACAAAGGAAAATCCTTACAGAAATAAATACAAGGTCAGCTTCTTTAATGGCATCATCAATATCCGTAGAAAAAAAGAGATTCTTTCCTCGACAGGATTCAACCACTTCTTTTAGTCCTGGCTAGAAATAAAAAAGAAAAGAAACCGTATACATGGGGTTTATAATTTACATTAGACAATTTTATAAAATAGGATTACATTTGTTAAGGAGGATTCTGATGATATAATTTAATGTGATGATGCTCTCATGTAATATCTTTGTAGAAGAGATAAATGACTACAAATCAAAAATCCTCAGGGTATTCTAAATAGTATACCTAAATCAAGCAAACTTGAGTCTACCACAATCAGGGCAGCAGTTCATTTTAATGCTGTGTCATTGTTTACCAGGGATTGAATGTTTCATAATAGTTAATTATTGACTCAGTGTTAAACACATTTACAGAAAAGTCAAGGTCTTCTGTGATTTCAAGCAAGCATTACATTTTGCACTGTCATTATGAATGCAGGATTCTATCCCCAATCATTTAGGTGATAGAACTGGTCAAAAAACAGGAACTCAATATATGCATTAATAGTAATACATATTTTTCTACATCAAAATACAAAGTATAAAACAAGTATAAAAAACAATGTGGATTCAATCAGTGAAATATAAACTGTAAAAATGCCTACAGGATAATCACCATGGTTTCTTCAAAAAATAACTAAAAAAGTCGAGGGAGAAGAAATTATTGTCTTAATACTTGGAAACAGCTAATTTCTCCCCCTCCCTCACCCTCTCTCCCTCATGAACCCTTGATAACTTATAAATTATTATTATTTTACAATCCTCTGGATTTATTTTGGTTAGCGAAGACAAGTACTGTTACAATTAAAGTTATGTGTCAACTTGACAACACCATGATTCTCAGTGGTTTGGCAATTATGATGTAATTTGTCAGTAATGACGTAGTCATCCCCAGGATGAGATCTGCGATGAGCACATCAGTTAGAAAGGAGTTTCTTTTGGGGTATGGCCTGCATCTAATTTATATGGACATTCTGACAAAGCTCTCTGGCTTTTTGCTTCATCTGGATCTTGCACCTGGCTCCAGTTCTTTGGACTTGAGCTAGCAGCCTGACATGTTGCTTTATCCCCCCTCCTTTCCCATGTACCAATGGAATGTATTTGAAGCATTTATTGAATTAAGTGGTTCTAGCAACACTGTTAACTATATTCAAGCCAGTGCAATCAACAAAACAGGGTGGATAGGCATCATTCACTATAGCTTTGCTTGTTCTCTCCCAAATCGTCAGCGTAAACAAAGGAAAAGAGGTCCAGTATTAGATGTGCTGCTCAGGCCCAACATCAGATACATAGCAGAAAAAGCCTCACCCATATTAATTAGGGAAAGAAGGTGAGTTAGTTAATTGTGCCAGCCTGGCTGATAATCACATGTGGGGCTAATTGAAAGGCGGAGGAATAAATGGGTGGTGAACCTCGCCTTTCCGGTTCTCGGGTCTCTTGTTTTGTGATGGTCACACCACGGTGCAGCTGCCTTAGCCAGTTCCCTACTTCAGCTGGCCAGGCTCACTTCCTGCAAGACATCCCTGAGGAGAAGCCACATGGACCTATCCCGATGCAGCCCTGGGTGCTGGAGCAGCCGTGTGGAGACCCCTGCTAGTGCTGAGATGCTTGTTCGCTCAGACTCAGCTTTCCTCCTGCAGTCGGCATCATAGTGTGTTTTGTGAGGAGATGGAGGACTTTGTAGACTGGTGTTGGATTAATGGGTTAATGTTGGATTTGTGGGCTTGGGCAGCATTGGGTTGGGATGTTTTCGTGATGCACACTTTCTTTACATAAAACTCTCTTATACATGAGTTGCTGTGGATTTGTTTCTCTAAAGTACCTAGACTAATACAGAAGGGTAAGGCGGTAGGTCTTGAGTGTGCAGTTAAAAAAAACAAACGTAGAAGCCTCAGCTCTCTCTTGGAAGAAGAAGCCATAATAGTATTAAATCCTTTGGAATCCTGAGCCCTGTACTTTGATTTCTTGGTCTGTACATAAATGGGTCAGATTTAAGTGCTTCACATACAAACCATCAGACTCTGTGATCCCAAGATCTACAGCGATTAAGTGTCTCCTGGAGTTTTCTCTTGACAGTTGGGGAACAGTACTTCTGATATTCTTAGGCCATGAGCCCACTTTCTGGCCTGTTACTTGCTTGAGGAATCAGGAAGATAAACTCCTGAATTCATCGGTGCTTTCCTCTTGGCTGTTTCCTCAGCAACACTGTGATTTAGCCACCTTAGCCTCTACTGAGAATTCTGTAGAATGTTGTTGACCAAGACAATTCTTCACTGAGCACTAAGTAGCTTCTTTACACATAGGATCAAGATCCAGGGCCACCTTGGGTCCTTACACAGCACAATTTGGTAGCTAGGTTGTTAATTTGTTCCCAGAGTTCGGCCAGACTGTCTCTGACAAGGTGGATGTGAAAGTTGTTGCCCAGCCTGTTGCAGAAACTTTTTGCAAACCCTTGGTGAAGAGGTCCCTGCTAGCTCAGACCTTGCCACCAGAGTCCCTTCCCTGGACACAGAGGCAGAATCAGCCACAGTCATCACACTCTCTTACATTTGGAACCTGCCAAGAAGGACTCCAGGAACTGATACATTGCTTTCTAATCTTAGTATTTGTTAGTCCCATCAGGGCTCCTGTGATTGGTAACAAGAGTTTTATAAATAACTAAACCCTTCTGGGGGAAAAAAAAGAATATATTAATATGGGATGAAAAATGTTACTATCAAATTTTTAAGTACATTCTCATTGGTCTTCAAAAGTATAGCATTTCATGACTTTGCTTTAAAATAAAATTTAAAAAATGAGACCCAAATAGCTAAATATAATAGAAGCATATTTTCCCAAGTATAAATTTTCAAAATTCACATAAATTTTGAAATTCCAATTAAACAATATTTGTGATATTAAAAACTAAATATGAAACTCATTATCTTTCTAAAGTTTACCTTTTGTAAATACAATAATATAAAAGTATATTGGACTTATAATATGAATTAGTATTACAGCTTGTACTAAAGATCACATTTATTTTAAACATTGTAATATGGAACTATAGTTAGAATCACTCACAATCCCACTACACTAACACGCAACTATTAATAGTCTGATACACTTATACACTTTCTTCCAGTCATTTTTCCTAAAAATATCTGAAAATTATAATTAGCATTTATCTTAGCATTTATTATGATTTTTCTATTTAATTTCATATCAGTTACAGCCACAGATAATAGGACATATAAATTATTTAACACGGATCGTAATAAAACAAGGAATATGAGAACAAAGCGTTGTTTAGGGTGGCTTACCTCATAAATAGGAAGTGTGGGAGAGTTCCATGCATTGATTCTGGATTCATTGACGTCAACTACCATCACCCTAATTTTAGGGCACATATGCGCAATGACACTACACGTGGGTCCTCCAACGTAGCCCGCACCGATGCAACAGATTTTCTTAATTTCAAACATGATTGTACTAGAAGAGAAACAGTAAGAATGCTCTAGTATTAAAAACAAAATTTATAGAAATCGCATTGCACATCCATTACATTTTATTAAAATTATCAAGGACATCTGGAGAGATTTCCTGCCATAACGCATAGTGATAGGAACTTGCATTCCAATAGGATGCCCTAGTCTATTCTTGGAGCGCTCGTGGCACAGTGGGTATGCCTTGGACTGCTACCGCAAGACCAGCAGTTCAAACTCATCAGCTTCTCCTTGGGAGAAACACAAGGAGATTTCTGTTCCTACAAAGATGTATAGTCTTTACTGTATAGGGCTACTATGAGTTAGAATTTACTTGAAGGCAGTGAGTTTTTGTAGTCTGTTTTCAGTTGCATGACATGCAACAATGAAACCATACGGGGAATATAGTAACTGATATCCTGGGAAAAGGCCACAGAAGTTAAACCTAATATTCAGAAAATGAAGAAACAAAGTAAAATTTCACCAAGGCCTCTCCTCTAATACGCTAGGACAACTTTAATTGCTGAAGGGAACATGATAATGCAATTCTTGCTTCATGCAGTTGTATAAAGGTGATCTTAATGACATGACAGGTTTAGACTAATATGATAGATATGAAAATTAGTTTCATAGTCCAAGATTGTCTCTGAGATTGTACTCCTTACACACTTAATTTAGCTTCAGCAATTTATTTTTAAAGATTGGGCCATGGTCTTAAACTTGATTTTACCTTTAATCAGAACCAACGAGATGGGTAAAGGATGGTAATTTCTGTAGTTGCCAAAACTGTTCTACAGATTTTGATAGGTTTTCAAAAGCTGTTAAGTGATACACACTAAGTAAACTCAATTTTATCTTTAGTGGTTATAATTAGCAGGCATCAAGTCATAGAGTCTGATACAAATTATTTTTTAAAACTATCAAGAGAAATAGAATTTTAATAAAATTAAAAATGGACAGAATTTGGAGTGTTTTGAAACCAACTACAGAAAACAATATTGAAAATACATTTTAAAAATAGAAAAATTTCACAAGCTGTTTTAAAAAACTTTTTTCCCCCACAAGCTGTTTTATGGTCCCTCATCATAAAGAACTTGATTATCACCACCACTAGCCTTAAGTAAAATAAAAAGTCACACTATATTCAACTGAGTATAACTACCAGGAAATACTAGAACTCTTTGCTGACCTGTGGAGAAGCCGCTTTGAACCTCGCCATCTTGTGTTTAGCAGCCTAATGCTTACCACTAGCTGTCAATGCCACCAGTGCTCCTTGGAAGTGTCCCAGCCTTCCTAAATCTGGTAGGTTCTTGTGGTAGTTACATAACGATGTGTCAATTTGAAGATACAGAAGTGATGGAGTGGAGGTTAGTCTGTCAATCAGGCCAAGCCTGATGGTACCTCCTGGTGGGCACGGCCTTCTCACAAGGGAACCTCCTCTCTGTTTCACTTTCTGGTTGGCGAGCCACATGCAGCTGAGCCCTATCAGAGGCCTGGAGATGCATCCACCATCATTGGACCCACAAGACTCTGCGCCCACTAGCCAGTGACCTTCCTGCATTTTGCATCACTGCATGTGGCTTCATGAGTCTAAAAAGGACTTATGGACTATTGTCAGACTTAGGGGCTTGATCTGGACTGGGCGGGGATGTTTGCTTGATATATAATTGCTTCTTGATATAAAGCTCTCTCATACATATGTGAGTGTCTCTGGGCCTCTGGATTTGTTTCTCTAAGTCAACCCAGTTTAACACAGTTCTCTCCTTAATAATCTAAGAAAGCGTTGCCTTTCATGGGAAACCATAAAAAAGCATATATTCCCATTAAACTTTGAGGATTACAAGATTCATTTCAGCAAAAATTCCGAGTCAGCTTAGGAAAATTTAATTTTGGCAACCTATCTTGCCTTTCTTCACCCATCTGTTTTTCAATGATACCCTTTAGCACTATCCAAGCCTCAGCTGCCCTGCATGTGAGGAGAGAGGCTGCAAAAGGGAGGGGAAAGAGCACTGGAACTGCTCAATGGCTAACGCTCAAGGGAACGTGCCCTGAAAGCCCCCATTCTTGGGTCATGAGCAGATTTACTCATTAGGAGTCTCCTACATGTACTGCTGCTGCCTCCAGCATCTATAGTACAAAAGGTTTGGCATCTTTTTTTAAGAAAAATACTCAGTTTGCTCCAAGCCTATTTCCTTATTCTCCATCATGGAAATTTAAAAGCCCACATAGCATAGCAGAGAATTAATTGGGGCACAGTGTTTCTGACAAGATTATATTTAAAAACAATCTATTTGGATTTGGAGACTAAGTCAATCAGAAACATTTACTAAAGAACTCACTATGTAACTGCTACGTTGTTCTATATTCTGTGGACACCAAGTAAAACAGTTATTGTCCTTGCATTTACATAGTTGATATTCAAGTGGGGTAGAAACAAAGTAATTGCAGTTGTGGCAAATTCCATTTAAAAAAATGGATGGCCAAGGTCAGAGTCAAGATGGAGTTTAGGTAGAATCACCTGCCCGATTCTCCTGTCACTAGACAAGAAAATTAAGTGATAGGTCTGGGAAGCAAGTCAGAGGAGAAAGCAACTGAACCGAAGGTTCTGGAGTGACTTAAGAAGAGGAGGTGGTGGGGAAAGGGTGCAGTGAGCAAACAATGCCATAGACAGGGGAACAACTAGGGAATTAAAATCAGCAATGAGGAGGATGTTAGAGATCCTGGTGGTGTTGGAGCAAATGCAATCTAGCTGAGAGGAATCACTAAGAGGCAGATGAAGGGCAAGTGTGATGGTGGAAAAGGAGGAAGGTAAAAGGAAACAGAGGAAAGACCTAGGAAGTAAAGCTATGAATAGAGGTATAAACATAGGTATGCACTTATATAAATGTATGAATTCATAAAAATAGAGGTATTGGCATAAGTAAACAAATTTATATGATAATACATTGGGGGGGAAAAATACATTGAGGAAGTGGACAGACATTGGGCCTCTGCTCAAGCCCTCCCTCAACACAAAAACACTTTGTTCTAACAATCTGGCATTCTGTGATGCTCACCCTCCTGGCACAATTGCTGAAGACAAAATAGGTACACAAGCAAATGTGGTGAAGAAAGCTGATGGTGCCCGGCTATCAAAAGATATAGCGTCTGGGGTCTTAAAGGCTTGACATTAAAGCGGTCACCTAGCAGAGAAGGAACAAGCCCACACAGAAGAAGCACACCGACCTGTGCAATCATGAGGTGTCCACTGAATCAGGTAACAGGCATCAGAAAACCCAAAACAAAAAAAACAACAACCCCATCTGTAGATTATGGGATATCCCTTCACAGAAGAGTCCCAAGGAAGGAATTAGTCAACCAGGGCACAGTATAGCACTGATGAAATACACAAGATTCCTTTGGTTCCTTGAGGCTTCCTCACCCCCCACTACCATGACCACATTCCTGCTTTTCACTGTTGGCTACACTGGAGGATGTACACAGGTACAGATAAGAGATAAGAGCTCAAAACACACGGAACTCAATGGGAGTAGCGATACCAGGATGGTAGGGGAGGAAGAGGGAACTGATTGCAACGATCAACACATAAACACCCCCCCCCCAGGGGGATAAAGAACAGAAACTGTAGGAGAAGGGAGACAGCGGTGGGTGTAAGATATTAAAATAATAATTTATCGAGGGGTCATGAGGGTGGGAGGGGGAGGGACAAAAGAGGAGCTGATACCAAGGGCTCAAATACAAAGTAAATGTTTAGAAAATGATGATGGCAACATATGTACAAATATGCTTGATACAATTGATGTATGGATTGTTATACGGGCTGTAAGAGCCCCCAATAAAATGATCTTTTAATAAAGTTAAAAAAAGAAGTATTAACTTATCTCATCAGTTTGATGTCAACCTCTAAAATTTGATTAACCCTGGGACCAGAGGTGGGAAAGGAGGGGGTGGGGAGAGACTTGGTGGGAATCTACCTTCTAGAGCTGCAAGGTTGAAGATCAGATTCTAAATTGTAATGAATTTGAAAAACTACAACACTGAAATCCTAACTGGATAGCTAGCCAGCTTCCCTCTGATTACAACCCCCAAATCTAGAATGCCTAGAGAGCAGAATCTCAAAAGTAATTTTTAAAAATCTTTTTACTGGGGGCTTGTACAACTCATCGCAATCCATCCATCCATCCCATTGTGTCAAGTACATTTGTATTTTTGTTGCCATCATCATTCTCAAAACATTTTTCTACTTGAGCCCTTGGTATCAGTTCCTCATTTTTCCCCTCCCTCCCTGCCCTTCTCCCTCAAAAGTACTTTTAGACTAGAGGATTTTTCTCAGTTATGACTTAATCACATAACCAAGAGGTTATCTGGGAAGCTTTATGCCCAGGTTCCAATGAGGGCAGACCTAACAGTAATGTAATAGACTTAGAGTGAATGTTTACTTGGTGCAAACTCCAAGGCTCTAGGGGTTCATAGTTTAATAGACACTCCCAGGTAAACAGTTCTCATCAACCGCTCCAACCAAAAAACAAACCCACTGCCGCCAAGTCGATTCCACCCTGTAGGACAGGGTACAATTGCTCCTGTGGGTTTCTGAGACTGTCACTCTTTAGAGGAGTAGAAAGTCTCAACTTTTTCCCACGCTGCATCTAGAATGACAGACTCTCAAAATTACTGAAGCAGGATGTAAATCTGTCTAAGTCCAAACAAACTGACATTTGGAAGTTTTAATAAAATGTCCAATAAACTGTGTTGGTGATATATGGTGCATGACATGTCTTCCAATTCTGGTCTCTATTTCTACTTTTATGCGCCTTTAGTGTGCTGTTAAAGACATAGTAACAGCACAATAAAGGCATAACTGGTGTTACAGGAGCCCTGGTAGTATAGTAATTATGTTTTGGGCTGTAATCAGCAAGGTCAGTGGTTTGATACCATTAGCCACTCTATGGGAGAAAGATGGGACTTTCTACTCCTGTAAAGTTACTGTCTCAGAAACTCATGTGACAGTTCTATGAGTCGTACTGACTAAATGAAAGTGAATTTGATTTTGTTTCTTTTACTGTGCTGCTAAAGAAACAGGGATTCTCTGCTTATGGAATGAGTTATTTTGAAACGAGTTTTTACTTTTTAAAAAAAGTTAATCATTTTATTTGGGGCTCATTCAACTCTCATCACAATCCATACACACACCCATTGTGTAAAGCACATTTGTACATTTTTTGCCATCGTCATTCTTAAAACATTTGCTTTCTACTTAAGCCCTTGGTCTCAGCTCATTTTTCCCCTCCCTCCCTGCTCCCCACTCCCTCATGAACCCTTGATAATTTATAATTATTATTTTATCTTATCTTACACTGTCCGACATCTCCCTTCACCCATTTTTCTGTTGTCCATCTCCCAGGGAGGAGGTTATATGTAGATCCTTGTAATCAGTTCCCCCTTTCCGACCCACCTTCCCTCTACCCTCCTGGTATCGCCACTGTCGGCACTGGTCCTGATGGGATCATCTGTCCTGGATTCCCTGTGTTTCCAGTTCCTATCTCTACCAATGTATATCCTCTGGTCTAGCCAGGTTTGTAAGGTAGAATTTTGGGAGCATGACAGTGGGTGGGGAGGAAGCATTTAGGAACTAGAGGAAAGTTGTATGCTTCATCATTGCTACACTGCACCCTGACTGGCTCGTCTCCTCCCCACGACCCTTCTGTAAGGGATGTCCAGTTCCCTACAGATGGGCTTTGGTTCTCCAATCTGCACTCCCCCTCATTCACAATGATTTGATTCTTTGTTATTTGATGCCTGATACCCGATCCCTTCAACACCTTGTGAACACACAGGCTGTGTGCCTCTTCCATGTGGGCTTTGTTGCTTCTCAGCTAGATGGCCACTTGTTCACCTTCAAGCTTTTAAGACCCCAGATGCTATATCTTTTGCTAGCGGGGCACCATCAGCTTTCTTCACCACATTTGCTATGCACCCGCTGTCTTCAGCGAATGTGTCGGGAAGGTGAGCATCATGGAATGCCAGTTTAATAGAACAAAGTATTCTTGCATTGAGGGAGTACTTGAGTGGAACCTCAATGTCCATCTGCTACCTTAATACTAAACCTATAAATATATGCACATAGATCTATTTTCCTATCCTCATATACAAATATATTTACATATGTACATGCCTTTATTTAGACCTTTATAAGTGCCCTTTGCCTCCTAGTTCTTTCTTCTATTTCCTTGTACTTTCCTTTTGTCCCACTATCATGCTCAGCCTTCATTTGGGAGTTTTTACTTTTTACTTTAGGAGAGTCACAGCAAACCAAGCCACTCTGCAATCACTCTAACTAACATTGCCGTAAATTCAGATCACTATTTCAATTAGACGTGATGAACAAATTAAAAAGGCTCTACTACCATTTAAGCGGAATAGAAACCAGTCCTTCCTTTCCTACCCTATTCAGGATAAAGAGTATTAGGTGTCCAAGGAGCTAAAGCAATAGGCACTAAAGTTAGAAACACACACTTCACACATTGCTAGTCACTTAAACAAATAAAACACTAGCTGATCCTGACCCAAGAGAAATATGTAATCAGTGTGGAAGACTGTATCATATAAGGCTGTGCAAACAGCAAGAGGGGAGATAGAGTATATTTATCAGTTGTGAATCCTAGAATGTGTGTGAAAAGAATCCAAGGCTGGGAGAAGAAATGTGATTCTTTTAAGTAGGGCTGTCCCCCATTTACCTTTCAAATTAGATGGTGGGTACCAACCAGCACATCTGAGAGGAGACAGTGAGGCTTTCATTTTCAGAACCCTCTGAAGAAACAGACCAGAGTACTGTGTTCCCTTGCATGGGGGATTTGAAGGACCTCAAAGACTCACTGTGTCTCTGCGGTCTACAAGGGACAGCATAGGCCGAGGACAACTACTTCTCTGTTTATCCTCGAACAGTTCCCAGTCAGGGAAACCCTCAGCCTGCACTAGACGTGTCTCTTGCACAAACACGCTCCCCCGAAGCACACACGAAACGCCTTCCCGGCTAGCTACGGGTTCCAGGGAAATCCGCACCCTGTCACGACAGCACGTCTTAGAACTGCACCCTCCAAGGAGATTTCTGGCTTCGTTTTCTCTGTGGTCTAAAAGATTCCAGGGAAGATGCAGCCCCCCCGCCGCGCCCCAAGTGAATGGGCTCAACACACAAAGGCTCTGAGGCCAAGATGGGTGCCCCCGCCACACACACCCACCACCACCGAGGACCGCTTTCTTCAGTGGGCATTCATTCGGTTTCCTGGGGCGGTAGGGAAATTTAATTTGTTCCACAAGGCAGGCAAGTGGATAAAAAGCAGAAAGGGAAGAAGGAGCGACAGGCATGAAGAGCCCCGTCCGGAATGAAGACCCCCTGTTACACGGTCCGCAGGGCAGCGGACCCCAAAGCGGGGACGCAAGGGAGGTGCGGCGGGAAGCCGGGGTCGCGCCAGGGCGGGAAAGCGCGTGCGTCCCGCCGCCCCGGCTCAGCCCCCGGCGACCGCGAGCATCCCGTCGGCGGCCGCCCGGAGGGGCTTACTCACTTCCAGCGCCGAACGCTGCTCCCCGCCCGGCGGCTCCGACAGCACCTTCCTCTGGGCCTCCGATTCAGTCCCCGCGCCCTCGGGTGCCTGGTGTCCGCACGCTCCTCCTGCAGCCTGCTCGGCGCCACACCCCAGCCCGTATTTAAACGCTCCTGCCTGAGAAGGCGGGGGCTTCATACCCCCGCAGCCCGGCCCTCCCGGACTCTGCCCTCAGCTACATCCCGGCTCCAGCTCCCGCCACGCACAGGTCGCGGCTGGGCCCGGCCCCCATTTCCTGGAAGGCCTGGGGGCGGGGCACGGGCGGCGCGACGTGAAGGCGCGGCGTTGAGGCCACGCCCCTGGACGAGCCTCAGCGAATCGGCTGCGGCCAACTCGGCGGCCCCACCCCTGCGCGAGCGACGCGGGGCTGCGACGGGCTGCGTGCGCGCCGAGTCCGGTAGGCCGGAGGGTGGGGGCGTTCCTTGCGTGCTGCTCGACACGTACCCGGCACTGAGCCTCGAGTCTGGCCTGGGTTTCCAGCCCCTGCAACCCCTTTCCTAGTTAGCAATTGGCGCGGAAAAGGGGCTTCGCGCCTCCCTCGGGCTTAGGCACCGGCTTGCCTGCCGCCCGAAACGCCCCAGTCCCCTTCTGTTTCTGCTGCAGCACAGGGAAGGGCTGGCCTGGGCTCCCAGGCCCCCGGACTCTGCGAGTCAGCCCCAGCCAGCGACTTCCAGGCCCTTGGGTCCGGCACGCCTTTTGCGCTCCAGGCCCCAGATTTAGTCATAGGTCGCCCAGCGCATCGCTTTTGGGAAGCCGACTCCCCACGTCTGGACCACTAAGCACCCCCAACCTGACCCCTGGGAGGAGAAGCTGGACACCCACATCCTCCAGGCACATTTCCCAGATGTACTCCCCAGACCAGGCTCCGTCAGGAATGTCTATGTGATGATCCAGTAAAATTCGTAAACTTAGAGGCTCTACTTGCGTAAAGTACTACCCGGCAATTACTCAAACCAGATGATTAAGTTACATCTCCGAAACACAGGGCAGTTCTACCCTGTCTTATTGGGACGCTATGACTTGCTGTGACTGAATCAACTAGATGGCAGTGGGTATACATGAGTTTACGTGATTCATTACCCACCAAGTGGACGGCACCACCCTCCCCCCAGGAAGAATCCACTTTAGAGGACAGCTCAAGAAGAGGGACTTGTCTGATCAGAGCACACAGTAGCCAACGAAGGGGGAGGGGAACAAAAAAAAGAAGAGTGAAGCACATCCCTGGCTCACCAAGCCCTGAGGAGAATGTTTCTGCTCAGAACAGCAATGCACAGAGACGACCACAGGGCCGGTCTCACCATGGGACACAGCGTTCCTCACTGACCCATAGCGCCATGGGGGACAACACTAGAGATAGACAGCAGGAATTGTGCCTGCCCTGAGCTCACTACACTGAAGCCAGCCTCTGAGGGCATGCAGCAGAGCAGCTGGGGCAGCAGAGCAATGAAGTCCCCAGGGGTAGATGTGGGGCCAGGGTATGGCACCCATTAGACTCAACTGGAAAGCACTCTTGAAGGACAACAAATAAACCCTGAACTATTTATAGGGTTTTTTTGTGTGTGTGTTGTTGTAGCTATGGTTTTACTTTCTATTGTTGCTTCGTTGTACTCAGTCTTGTGATGGTACCTAGCATGTCTACCTGGAAGGGATAGTAGGAATAAACAAGCCGGAAGAGAGAACAATGGATGACAGGTGGGGGGTGTGGGGGGTGGGCATGGGAGTAGGGGAAGCAGGGGAGAGGAAGTGGGTGGTAACAAACCCAGGGACAAGTGATCCAAAATCAGTGGCAAGGAGGGTGTAAGAGGTCTGGCAGGGCTGTATCAAGGGCAAGGTAACCCAGAGAAATTCCTAAAGCCCAAATGAAGGCTAAACATGATAGTGTGACAAGAGGAAAGTACAAAGAAATAGATGAAATAACTAGGAGGCAAAAGGTAGTTATAGAGATCTAAATACAGGCATATACAGATGTAAATACATATATGACAAGGGGGAAATAGATCTATGCACATATATTTATAGGTTTAGTATTAAGAAAACAGATGGACAGTGGGCCCCTGCTCAAGAACCCCCTTAACAGAAGAATACTTTGTTTTAACAATTCGGCAGTCTGAGATGCTCACCTGCCTGGCACAATCGCTGAAGACAATGGGTGCACAAGCAAATGTGGTGAAGAAAGCTGATGGTGTCAGGCTACCAAAAGATATAGCACCTGAGGTCTTAAAGGCCTGAAGATAAACAAGTGGCCATCTAGCTGAGAAACAACAAAACCCACATGGAAGAAGCACACCAGCCTGTCCCGACTTGATCGCTGAGGACAAAGTGGGTGCATAAGCAAAAGTTGTGAAGAAAGCTGATGGTGCCCGGCTGTCAAAAGATGTAGAATCTGGGGTCCTATAGGCTAGAAGATAAACAAGGGGCCATCTAACTGAGAAACAACAAAGCCCACATGGAAGAAGCAC